ATTTCACATCCCTGCTGTCAAACAACACACCCTTGGATGGTTCCCACAGCAGCCATCCCTTGCTCTCAGCAGCCAGCCCCAAATGCACACACCAGATTGCACTCGCCCCCAACTTACTGCGGTAGGTCTTGGGGACGTGGGCGACTGCCATGCAACCGAACACCCTCAGCATGTCCACCGGCGGCTTCCTCCCAAGCCACCTCTCCAACGGCACCCACGAGTCATCCCCAACCTTGGTGAGCACCCTGTTCCTAGCGACAGTGGCGTGCCGGACAGCATGAGGCCACATAGAATTGCTCAGCCCATATTCTATGAGCAGCGCCCTAGCTGTCTCCAGAATGGTCCGGTTTGCCCGTTCTGCTACACCATTGGACTGTGGGGTATAAGCCGTGGTCAGCTCTCTCTGGATGCCCTGCTTCTTGAGCCAGGCCGTCATTTCAGCTCCAAGGAACTCACCACCCCGGTCTGTCCTAATCCGCTTCACTACACACTCCGCCTGCTTCTCCACGAATGGCAGCCAATCGTCCCGTATCGTGGAGGCGGCGTGGTCCTTCTGCTTCAGCGGATACGCCCACATCAGCCTGCTCCACAATTGTAAGAAAATACCGCTCCCCCTTGTGCCCTTGCACCGGCAGCGGCCCCACCAAGTCCATGTGGACCAGCTCCAAAAGCTTCTTGCTCCTGCCAGCCACACTATGGAAAGGGAAACGGGTGAACTTTGAAAGCAAACAGATTTCACAGTTGTAATCGGGTGGCTGTCCGTTCAGCTTCAGACCCTTCCTTCTCCATCCTTCTCCAGCTGCTTCAGCAAAGGCATTGCCACATGCCCTAAGCGCCGGTGTGCCGTTGCCCAATCTGTCTCCCCAGATCTGGCCGACACTTTCACACCAACCCCTCCAACGGCATTGCACTCCCCCTGGGATGCAGACCCCTCTCCAGCCTGCCCCCCACCATGCCACGCCAGGGCCGGCAGCTGCCACATAGATCTGTACACGTCCTTGCTCTCGTGCAGATCCCAAAGCACCCGATTGCCCAGCTTCCCCTTATAAGTGCGTGCCCCATCCGTGTTGGTGTTCACCCCAGCCTTGCCAAGCTTACGGAGGGAGATAAGGTTGGCCTTCAGGTCGGGGACGAAGAGAACGTCGTGCAGCATCACCGGCTTGCCATCCGCTCCCTTAAACGCAGCTCGTCCCGCACCAGCCACCTTCAACATGTGTCCAGAGGCGGAGCACACTTCATTGATCGGTGCAGCTCGTACTTCGTCCAGCAGGTCCTTGCGTGGCGTCATCGTCCAAGCAGCGCCTGTGTCCAACACCCAATAGTCTAGGGGATGCAGCTCTGCTCCAACTTTGGCAGAGGCGTCTCCTTGCTCCCCCTTGTCTCCCACATGGAAGAATTGGCCCGCGGTGCGCTCCTTCTTCTTCTCCGCACCGCCGTTGCCCTTCGGGTTGTTGTCGGACGAATCAGCGACCATGTTGGCGCCGTTTTTCTGGTTCCTCCGCGCGCCGCCATCCTGGTGACGATTCTGGGGGGTCCATCCATCGGGTTTCTTATAGCACAAAAACCAGGGGTGCCCTTCTTTCTCACAATACCAGCAACTCCCTTTCATTTTGCCACCAGCACCCGATTTGCCCCCACGTCCAGATTTCGCACCGCGACCCCAACCGGTACCTCCTTGTTGGTCGTTGGAGTCGTCGTCTTTCTTTGCACCGCGTCCAGCACCACCGAAGCCACGTCCTCTGCCACGTCGGCTCCCTTGCATCCCGTAGCCGCTGCTGCCGTCGTCTCCACCCCTCAGTTGGCGGCGACGGAAGTCCTCCTCCAGAATCTTCGTCCGCACCCACTCGAGCGTCCACAAGCTCTGGTTCTGCGGCAGGCTCAATCCGCTCGTAAATTGAAGCCACGATTCTGGCAGCAGCGAGAGCATCTTCAAGCACTTGGTCTGCTCCGGGTAGGTGATTCCCGCGGTCGCCAACTTCGCGTAGAGGTCGCGCATCTTGTCCAGGACTGGTTGCACCGGCTCTCCCTCGCTCAGGCGCAACGCGGACAGCTCCCTCTCCAGCATCAACGTTGCGACAACGGAGGTCGGGGCGTGCAGCTCCTTCAACACGGTCCACGCCTTCGGACCGCATTCAACCTCCGGCAGCAGGTGCATGACGTGGTGACGCTGATTCAGCTCCAAACTCTGCGACATCAAATAGTAGCCAGCCGAGGAGCGCTCGTCCCAATCTTCCTGCAGCGTGGGGTCACTCGGTCTAGGCTCCTCCCCAATCATTAGTTTCAGCAAACCGATCTGACGGAAATATAATTGCATTTTCCAGGCCCAATCATCATAGCCCTCACCATTGAACTTCTCGACGGTGAAATTCTTCAGCACCTCCTTGACAAGCGAGCCCTGGTTTGTTCGCGCTCCCCTTGGCGCTGAAAGACCAGAATCTTGGCTGCCGCTACGATCTTGGGCTGAAGATTCACCAGCTCCCGCCGAGGTGTTGCCCACCATAGCTACCTATAACGAGGATCACTATAACGCAGCTCTGATACCAGCTTGTTGGTGTAAGGGCCTAATAAACTCAAGCTATTAGGACTTAATCAAACTTAAAACCTCTCCTCGGGGTCACCTCCAAGGGTCCCTGGGTGCCTGGTACAAGACCAGCCCTATCCTCGGGTCCGAGTTTGTAGAGAGAGGGATCAAGAAGGACTTAGTCAAAACAGCAAGAGTACCTTGAACGTCGCGCAGCGTGCCGTGCAGACTGTCGGTCGGATTAAGCTGAGAATTCGCTATATCGAAGCTCGCTCCAAGAGCTTTAAAATGAGCCAAGTTGCCTCGCGAAAAGTTCTGCCATTACGAAGTTATGGCTCAGACGATGTTTGCCTAGCATTAGAGTGCTAGCGTACTAGCGTTGACTCGGGTAGCATTCCGCCAACGAACCGCGTAGAAACGAAATTCCAGCGAGGAAGGAATTCGCATGAATCAATTTTACTATATTCAGGTACAAACAGAGAAGGATTAAATAGTTCTAGCTAGCAAGGACCTTGGGAATCAACCTGGGAACAACCAGGGATGATCCCAAATAATTCCAAGCAACAGAACCAACCTGGCTGGACAAAATAGCAGGTGGTAGGTTGGTAAACAACCTCTGGTTCTGTTTTTCCAACCTGGGAAAACAACAACCAGGTTCAGGTTCTAAAAACAGAACCTGTTTTGTCTTTGCCCAACCAGCCAAATGCTGGTTCCGCTGGTTTCCCCTGGCCTTGTAGCATGCAGATACAGACAAACAACATCCAACCTTCACCTAAATTGTACCCCTATAGTGCCTTCCCTGCTACACTATAGTTAACCAAACAAAACAGTACAATTCCGAGTTGGATAGAACTGAATCTGCGCAATCAACTCAACCGAACTGCAAAGCTTCCATCTTGGGTTCCTTTGCGAGCTCGTCCTTTCTGCTTGCACTGTTCATAGCGCATACAATGTTGTGCCGAAGCGCACATTGCGCGAGTACCTGCAAATGCATCAAGCGAAAATTGCGAAAGCAAACAAACACACGAACATTCCATTCACACCCAAATGCATTCGCACACGCATACTCGTATAAACAGACGGCAGGATGTCGTGCAATGTAAAATTTGCACCCAACACTTTTCGCGAGGCAACTTGGCTCATTTTAAAGCTCTTGGAGCGAGCTTCGATATAGCGAATTCTCAGCTTAATCCGACCGACGGTCTGCACGGCACGCTGCGCGACGTTCAAGGTACTCTTGCTGTTTTGACTAAGTCCTTCTTGATCCCTCTCTCTACAAACTCGGACCCGAGGATAGGGGCTGGTCTTGTACCAGGCACCCAGGGACCCTTGGAGGTGACCCCGAGGAGAGGTTTTAAGTTTGATTAAGTCCTAATAGCTTGAGTTTATTAGGCCCTTACACAAACAAGCTGGTATCAGAGCTGCGTTATAGTGATCCTCGTTATAGGTAGCTATGGCGGGCAACACCTCGGCGGGAGCTGGTGAATCTTCAGCCCAAGATCGTAGCGGCAGCCAAGATTCTGGTCTTTCAGCGCCAAGGGGAGCGCGAACAAACCAGGGCTCGCTTGTCAAGGAGGTGCTGAAGAATTTCACCGTCGAGAAGTTCAATGGTGAGGGCTATGATGATTGGGCCTGGAAAATGCAATTATATTTCCGTCAGATCGGTTTGCTGAAACTAATGATTGGGGAGGAGCCTAGACCGAGTGACCCCACGCTGCAGGAAGATTGGGACGAGCGCTCCTCGGCTGGCTACTATTTGATGTCGCAGAGTTTGGAGCTGAACCAGCGTCACCACGTCATGCACCTGCTGCCGGAGGTTGAATGCGGTCCGAAGGCGTGGACCGTGTTGAAGGAGCTGCACGCCCCGACCTCCGTTGTCGCAACGTTGATGCTGGAGAGGGAGCTGTCCGCGTTGCGCCTGAGCAAGGGAGAGCCGGTGCAACCAGTCCTGGACAAGATGCGCGACCTCTACGCGAAGTTGGCGACCGCGGGAATCACCTACCCGGAGCAGACCAAGTGCTTGAAGATGCTCTCGCTGCTGCCAGAATCGTGGCTTCAATTTACGAGCGGATTGAGCCTGCCGCAGAACCAGAGCTTGTGGACGCTCGAGTAGGTGCGGACGAAGATTCTGGAGGAGGACTTCCGTCGCCGCCAACTGAGGGGTGGAGACGACGGCAGCAGCGGCTACGGGATGCAAGGGAGCCGACGTGGCAGAGGACGTGGCTTCGGTGGTGCTGGACGCGGTGCAAAGAAAGACGACGACTCCAACGACCAACAAGGAGGTACCGGTTGGGGTCGCGGTGCGAAATCTGGACGTGGGGGCAAGTCGGGTGCTGGTGGCAAAATGAAAGGGAGTTGCTGGTATTGTGAGAAGGAAGGGCACCCCTGGTTTTTGTGCTATAAGAAACCTGATGGATGGACCCCCCAGAATCGTCACCAGGATGGCGGCGCGCGGAGGAACCAGAAAAACGGCGCCAACATGGTCGCTGATTCGTCCGACAACAACCCGAAGGGCAACGGCGGTGCGGAGAAGAAGAAGGAGCGCACCCGCGGCCAATTCTTCCATGTGGGAGACAAGGGGGAGCAAGGAGACGCCTCTGCCAAAGTTGGAGCAGAGCTGCACCCCCTAGACTATTGGGTGTTGGACACAGGCGCTGCTTGGACGATGACGCCGCGCAAGGACCTGCTGGACGAAGTACGAGCTGCACCGATCAATGAAGTGTGCTCCGCCTCTGGACACATGTTGAAGGTGGCTGGTGCGGGACGAGCTGCGTTTAAGGGAGCGGATGGCAAGCCGGTGGTGCTGCACGACGTTCTCTTCGTCCCCGACCTGAAGGCCAACCTTATCTCCCTCCGTAAGCTTGGCAAGGCTGGGGTGAACACCAACACGGATGGGGCACGCACTTATAAGGGGCAGCTGGGCAATCGGGTGCTTTGGGATCTGCACGAGAGCAAGGACGTGTACAGATCTATGTGGCAGCTGCCGGCCCTGGCGTGGCATGGTGGGGGGCAGGCTGGAGAGGGGTCTGCATCCCAGGGGGAGTGCAATGCCGTTGGAGGGGTTGGTGTGAAAGTGTCGGCCAGATCTGGGGAGACAGATTGGGCAACGGCACACCGGCGCTTAGGGCATGTGGCAATGCCTTTGCTGAAGCAGCTGGAGAAGGACGGAGCCGTTAAGGGTCTGAAGCTGAACGGACAGCCACCCGATGACAACTGTGAAATCTGTTTGCTTTCAAAGTTCATCCGTTTCCCTTTCCATAGTGTGGCTGGCAGGAGCAAGAAGCCTTTGGAGCTGGTCCACATGGACTTGGTGGGGCCGCTGCCGGTGCAAGGGCACAAGGGGGAGCGGTATTTTCTTACAATTGTGGATGACTGGAGCAGACTGATGTGGGCGTATCCGCTGAAGCAGAAGGACCACGCCGCCTCCACGATACGGGACGATTGGCTGCCATTCGTGGAGAACAGCGGAGGCCATTCGAGAACAGGCGGATGTGTGTGTAGTGAAGCGGATTAGGACAGACCGGGGTGGTGAGTTCCTTGGAGCTGAAATGACGGCCTGGCTCAAGAAGCAGGGCATCCAGAGAGAGCTGACCACGGCTTATACCCCACAGTCCAATGGTGTAGCAGAACGGGCAAACCGGACCATTCTGGAGACAGCTAGGGCGCTGCTCATAGAATCTGGGCTGAGCAATTCTATGTGGCCTCATGCTGTCCGGCACGCCACTGTCGCTAGGAACAGGGTGCTCACCAAGGTTGGGGATGACTCGTGGGTGCCATTGGAGAGGTGGCTTGGGAGGAAGCCGCCGGTGGATATGCTGAGGGTGTTTGGCTGCATGGCAGTCGCCCACGTCCCCAAGACCTACCGCAGTAAGTTGGGGGCGAGTGCAATCTGGTGTGTGCCATGGGGCTGGCTGCTGAGAGCAAGGGATGGCTGCTGTGGGAACCATCCAAGGGTGTGTTTTTTGACAGCAGGGATGTGAAATTCATTGAGGGCATGATGTATGGAAGCTGGGAGAAAACCGGAGGCAAGGGTGTCCCAGCAGATGGAGCAGATCACCATGCAGCTGGACCTGACTCCTAGTGTGTGGGAGGAGGGAGAGGAGGCAGCTGCTGGAAATGGTGATGGAGAGAAGGTACAGGAGGCATCTGCTGGTGGAGAAAATGGTGTGGAAACTGGCGGCAGCACTAGTGGAGCTGCTGGACCCGAGGGAGGAGAGAAGCAGCAGGGAAAAACTAAGAAGCCGAAGGGTGTCGTTATGAAGGGATGGGAGACACCCGTCTCCAGGCCAGGACGTACCCGTATGGCTACTAAGAAGCTGACTGCAGGAACTGATGCAGCAGAGCAGCAGCTAGGGACCGAAGAGGCATTGCTGATTCTACCGCATGGCTATGACCCGGATGAGGAGGATGAGCCTGCGTACTGTTTTCTTGCCCCTGCACCAGAGAACAGCTAGCATGGAGGGGGCATTAGCTGGACCAGATAGGGACAAGTGGCTGGCTTCTAGGGATGCTGAGTACCAGAGTCTGCTGGAGAATAGGACATGGGATCTGGTGGTGCTGCCTGATGGGAAGAAAGCGATACAATGCAAGTGGGTGCTGAGGATCAAGACCGATGACAAGGGGCAGGTCACCATCTACAAGAGTAGGCTGGTGGCGAAGGGGTTTATGCAGAAGGAGAAGCAGGACTTCAACGAGATCTTTGCTCCCACTGCCAAACCCCCTACCCTCCGTGTCTTGTTGGCAGATGCAGTTGTTAGTGGAAAATTCATCATTCAGATGGATATTTCAACGGCATTCCTGAATGGGATTTTAGAGGAGGATGTGTACATGACGCAGCCGCCTGGGTATGAGGATGGTACGGGCAGGATGTGCAAGCTCAACAAGTCCATCTACGGCTTGAAGCAGGCGCCACGCTGCTGGTACCAGAAGTTGGCAGCTGTTTTAGAGGAGATGGGATTCAGGACCAGCAAGCAGTATGATGAGAGCCTCTTTCTCAAGGGCGAGGGGAGGAGCTGGTGCTGTTTCTGGTCTACGTGGATGACATTTTCTTCTTCAGCAGCACAGCTGAAGAGATCCAGAAAGTGGCAGCAGCAACTGATGGAAAACTTCAAGTGCAAGAACCTTGGGGAGGTAAAGTACTACCTCGGGATGCACGTGGAGAGGGATCCAGATCACAGGTGGTTTGAAGCCTGCACCAGAGAAAGTTCATCAAGGAGCTGGGGGGGAGAGAAGTATGGGATTGAGAATGAGCGCAAGGTTGCAACTCCCCTGCCAGCAGAATTCAAGCTTGTGAAGGCTGCAGAGGATGAAGGGGTTGAAGCTGAAGAGCAGCAGCAATTTCAGTCCTTGGTGGGCAGCCTCTTGTACGCAGCAGTTCACACGAGGCCCGACATCTCTTTCTCGGTTGGGCAGCTGGCTAGGGTGGTGCAGAATCCATCAGAGAAGCAGGTGGATGCAGCTGAGCGTGTGGTGAAGTACCTGAACTCTCACCCAAGCATTGGAGTTCAATACTCCGCATCTGCACAGGTGAAGCAGAAAGGGATGGAGGTGCTGAAAGAGAAGGGGGAGAGGCTTGGAGAAGGCAAGCTATTTCTCACTTGCTTTACCGATGCTACGTGGGCTTCTGAGAAGGAGGATTCCTCATCTGTGGGAGGATACATCTGCGTAGTTGGGGGAGGACCTGTTAGTTGGAGGTCCAAGAAGTAGACGGAGACGGCACTCTCTTCCGTAGAATCAGAGTACATGGCGATGTTCCATGGGGTGAAGGAGGTGATTTGGCTGAGGAGGCTGTTAGAGGAGATTGGCCAGGAGCAGAAAGTTGCTACGCCGCTGTTTTGTGATAGCAAGGGGGCTCTTGGGATGGCCAGAAACGCTGTGCTTCATGGGCTGAACAAGCACAGCGTCAAGTGGCACTGGCTGCGTAAGGAGGTGAAGAGGGGGATGGTGCATCCGATCTACATCAAGACTCACCAGCAGCCAGCAGACTTTCTCACCAAGAGGCTTGCGGATGAGCCTCATTGGCGTTGTGTGCGCATGAGTGGAATGAGCATGAACTAGCATGGAATGACGGGGATGCAGCCGGCAGGCTGAGGGGGAGTTGGTTGGTGCAATTGCACATTGCACGACATCCTACCGCTATGTTTGTACGAGTATGCGTGTTCGAATGCATTTGTGTGTGAATGGTGTGTTCGTATGTTTGTTTGCTTTCGCATTTTTTCGCTTGATGCATTTGCAGGTACTTGCGCAATGTGCGCTTCGGCACAACATTGTATGCGCTATGACCCGTGCAAGCAGAAGAAAGGACGAGCCTCGCAAAGGAACCCAAGATGGAAGCTTTGCAGTTCGGTTGAGTTGATTGCGCAGATTCAGTTCTATCCAACTCGAAATTGTACCGTTTTGTTTGGTTAACTATAGTGTAGCAGGGAAGGCACTATAGGGGTACAATTTAGGTGAAGGTTGGATGTTGTTTGTCTGTATCTGCATGCTACAAGGCCAGGGGAAACCAGCGGAACCAGCATTTGGCTGGTTGGGCAAAGACAAAACAGGTTCTGTTTTTAGAACCTGAACCTGGTTGTTGTTTTCCCAGGTTGAAAAAACAGAACCAGAGGTTGTTTACCAACCTACCACCTGCTATTTTGTTCAGCCAGGTTGGTTCTGTTGCTTGGAATCATTTGGGATCATCCCTGGTTGTTCCAAGGTTGATTCCCAAGGTCCTTGCTAGCTAGAACTATTTAATCCTTCTCTGTTTGTACCTGAATATAGTCAAATTGATTCAAGCGAATTCCTTCCTCGCTGGAATTTCGTTTCTGCGCTATTCGACGGCGGAATGCTACCCAAGTCAACGCTAGTATGCTAGCACTCCAACGCTAGGCAAACGCTGTCCGAGCCATAACTTAGTAATGGCAGAACTTTTCGTGAGGCAACTTGGCTCATTTTAAAAGCTCTGGAGCGAGCTTCGATATAGCTAATTTCAGCTTAATCCGACCGACGGTCTGCACGGCACGCTGTGCGACGTTCAAGGTACTCTTGCTGTTTTGACTAAGTCCTTCTTGATCCCTCTCTCTACAAACTCGGACCCGAGGATAGGGGCTGGTCTT